GGGAATGACCCCAGAAACACCATTTCTTTTAATGGGCCCTCCTTGTCTCATGTTTTTTTAGCCTTTAAAAGGCATAGGATCTTTGAAAGCTTATTTCTGTATACTGGTATTTTATGACAGAGTGAGAAAACAAAGTATTTTTGGTTTAAGGTATAGAATAAGAACCTCTCTCAGTTGCATGGATGTGTTTATATCTGCCTCTAAAGTATATTGCCACACTATATGTGGCATTCGAATCCATACCAGAAAACAAAGCATGTTTCTTTATATAACTAAATATACCTTGTACTCAGAATAGTAACTCTTTCAGGAAATAACTTTCAAATTATGTCAGTTTTGTGAGCTGATCTTAAGCTTTTTTCCTGTCCCTTCACTTCTCTTTTCATCCTTCTAGATTTACATTTTTTATGGCACTCGGTCAAACGCTGAATTTGTGATCCACAGTGGTTTTTTCTTTGATAATAATTCACATGACAGAGTGAAAATAAAGCTTGGCGTGAGTAAAAGTGACAGGCTGTATGCTATGAAGGCAGAGGTCTTAGCTCGTGCTGGTATCCCAACGTAAGTAAAACACAATGCCATGGGTTTTTTAAAACATTTCCAAAGTATATAGTGTCCAGTAGAGCATATATAAAGCTGTTCTGTGATAGTTTTCTTATGTGTAATATTTATCCTGTTTGTATAACAAATTAAAGTTATTGTCATAATATTTACAGAAGTTCTCAGAGCTATACTATCATCTAGTTTAGACCAAGTATAAGGAAAAAAGCCTTTGCTTTAATAACCATTTGAACAAAAACAGAGCAAGGATTAATTTGAAGCAATCTGTGGTTTTTCTTTCTTTCCTATCCCTTGCAGACATACTACGATGCTCAGTATGTGAACCGCAGCATTTTCCTTTAGTCTTTTCAGTCCAGAGGGTACTGTTAGGAGCAGCAGATGTAAAACATTGCTTTTTCATTAATTTGTTATGAAAGCTGTATAAAAATAATTGTAAGTGTAAAATTCTAGAGATAATTGTTCTTTTCAGATACAGGTTAGGGAAGCTTTTCTGCAGTTTAAACTAGTATTAGCTAATTTTTTTAAAGTTACTTTTGTAACAGGGAGTTTGTTGTATACTTTAAGGTCTTTTGTGTTGACATAAGTTCAAAGGTATGATAGCAGAACTTGCATTTACTGTTGTTTGATTATTTCTTTTATTAGTTCTAGTGTTTTTGCCTTGCACTCTACTGAGCCTCCAATCTCTGCCCAGCTTTTGGCTTTCCTTCGAGTGTTTTGTATGAGTGAAGGTAAGATGTTTTATAAAGCTGACCTAATTTATGTTTGTTTGGGGTTTTTGTTTGGTTATTTGTTTGGTTTTTTACTGCAGGAATGTGATAGACATTTATATAAAACATTAAGCTAGAAGATCAGAAAAGTTGAGGAGTTGAGGTTAAAAAGGGATCTATAAGCTAGTGAAGAAACCCAGTCTTTGGCCATGTTGTCTGAGGGACTATTTGAGTAACATAGACCTTTCTGGAGCTCCTAAAGCATGAGGTGATGCAATTTTTTTTTATTTTTTTAATTTTTTTTTAACCTCACAGGCTGAGTGAATGAGTGAGCTTTGGAGCTTGATCTTCAGTTCTTAGGTTTAAAAATGGTTCATAGAACAAGATCATGTGAGACCTAGGGGTTTACATGCTTAAAATCATAGCATGTTAGCCATCACTGCTAGAATCATTTAGGTATGGAGTTGGAATATTCTATGCTGTAGGAGGAATATGGAAGAGACATTTTGAAGTTGAGTATTTTCAGTATTTCAGTAATTCATAATCTAAAACCAACTTACGTATTTGCAAACTTTGTAGTGTTACATTAGGGGTTTTGGGGGGGAAAATATGTGTACAATTAAAAAATACTCCCTTAATTTGTGCATGTGAAACTTCTGATTAAATGTTTCTCATATTTGCTTGCTGGTTAGATGCAGTTTTGGAGGTTATAGATGTGACAGTTTTTCATGACAGTGAGAGAATTCCCTTGCAGTTAGGGAAGCTGTGCAGGTGATGTGGATTTTAATACTAGGAGGAATACTGAAGTTGGTACATTTTTGCATGTGCTCTATTTACTTTCTTTAATAAAAACAAGCTACCTTATTTAGTGTCATGCCTTCGCTGCATCCAGTCATCCATCTTTTAGAACTTCATAAGAAATTAGACCAGAATAAATAGTTCTGTTGGAAGGGACCTACAACAATCATCTGGTCCAACTGCCTGACCACTTCAGGGAAGTAAATTCAATTGAAGAAAATTTTAGGATGCTGAGGGGGTGAATTTTGGCTCAGCGAAGAAAATGCAGCTAGTGGACATCTTAATTGCATTTCTCTGATTCATGGTTGTGCTTGGATTATTCATGTCTTAAATACTGTATGAGAAAACTGTTTAGTGAGAAACTACGTGCAAGTGGTTTGTGAAGTTTGTTATAGCTGCTTTGCAGGAGTGAAATTTGGTAATTAAAAGATTAATGGAATTTGTGTAATGTCAAGGAGCTGATTAAACATTTTCTGCTCTGTGTGAGGTTCATTTGATGGGTGTCTTTTCTGACCAACTGTACGGAGTTACAGCTACTGAAAAAGATTACCAAAACAATAAGAAAAATAATTGCATTGCTGTTTTCACGCTCTCTGGCCTGTTCCTTTTATTTATCAAAAAGTTCGCTGAACTCTTTAAAGAATTACTCCCTTTTGTGTATCAAGTATTATGCAAAACGTTGCATCTCAGTGTCACAGAGTTACACTGTATGTGAGAGGCTATAACATACGAAGTGTCTTTATTCCTGGGTGGAGTAGAAGGTCCATTTTCTGCTAATCCCAAAACTTCTGTTGCCTCTTGGCAGAGAATCCTAAAAGCAACCCAGCCTATCTGATAATTCTTATTTGAGGAGAGCTTTTTTTGTTAGCTGCTCAAAGCTATTGAAAATAAATCTTTCTGCAGTTTGTCAACTGACAAAGTGAATGATGAGATTGTTTTTTAACAGATTGGTTTTATACTTATTGCAGAAGAGCTGAAGGAGCACTTGATAGGCGAACATGCCATTGGTAAAATCTTCACTCTGGGGAATTCTGAGTTTCCCATTAGCTGGGACAATGAAGTTAAACTTTGGACATTCCTAGAAGCCAGAGCATCCCTTCTTTTGAAAACCTATAAAACAACTGTTGAGGTAAAGTTATCATTATATGTAATTTAAATGTCTGAAATGTTCTGTGTTATGACTGTATGAAAAGATATTTTGTCCCCTATCTTGTCTTTACAAACTTTAATCTGAATGTTAGCACGTAATTCAGTCTGTACTTTTTAAAGTGTAGAAACAGATTTGCATTATCTAAGGAAAATCAAATAAGATTGCAAAAAAGAAAATTTTGTTAATGTAATTTTGTTAATGTATTTTTTCTTTGATTCTCCAAATAGAGGCTACCTGCTTTTTTTCTCTGCAAGTAAAATGGGGAATCAGTTTCAACTTGTTGTCTATTAGTTGCATTCTCCAGACTGCAAAGAAATGTGCTACTATTTCAAGCTTAGAAGTGAACCTACATGTTTCACGTATTTGTGAAGTCTCCTGACTTCCCTTGTTGTGCAGGCTGATCTGTGTGGAGAAATTTTTGGTTTCTTTGTAAATTCTTGACAAATTTCACTGGGACTCCATGCAGACCCCCTTATTCATCTATGTCCATTTGGCTCGGCCTGAAGAACCTACTGTGTCACTTATTGTTAACTCCTAGAGAGAAAAGCTGAGGGTTTTGTTGGGTTTTTTTTTGTGGTGGGTGTTATTAACAAACTTGCTTTTTCTTTTCTAACAGGATGATAAGTCCTTCTTGGAGACCCATGACCTTACTTCACATGCGATAATGGCTATCAAATTGCGCTTAGGTGAAAAAGAGATCTTGGAGAAAGCAGTGAAGAGTGCAGCTGCTAGCCGAGAGTATTATACCAAACAAATGGCAGATGGAGCTCTGCTTCCTAAATATGAAGAGAGCAATATTGCCTTGTTGGAGAACACTGTGGCAGACTCTAGACTCCCTATTGTCTTGAGAAACCTAGAAGATGTGGAAGAGCCAGGGGACTTAAAGATTGATGAAGCTATTGATGCTGAAGTCACAGAGAATGGGTTTGTAAATGGTGAAAACTCTCTATTTAATGGGACCAAATCAGGAAGTGAAAATCTAAATAAAGAGAAAAGCAACAGAGAGACTGAAGATGCCAAAGAATCTTCTTCAGAAAGTACTGATGAGGTTAAAGAATAGTCCTAAAATTTTACTTTCTTGTGAATTACATTAGCTGAAGTTTATGAACAGTGCATTTATGTTGGTGTGTTTCTTTGTTAACATTTCTCTTTCTGCAGAGAAAAATGTTTTTGCTGCTTTATATAAAAATGAATTTTTAAGTTATTTAAAAGATTTAGCATCCCTTTTCAATTAAGATTGCCATCTTGCTTTCAGGCAAAAACTGGGGAAAGAGGTGCCTTTGGAAGATTTTGCAGCCCTTTGTTGAACCAAATGTATTTTCTTCCTGGGGAAGAATTAAGCTCTTCTATCTGCTGTGCTTTTGTTGTTCTGTCACTCTGACTACCGAAATTAAAAGCTTGCTCTGCCTCCTGCCAAGAAAAGCAGAAGGCAGGACTGACTCGGTATTCAGCATGAAGGTGGGAGAGCAGTACAGCAGAAAACTGGATAAGAGGATCAGAAACTTGGGAGACTGGAGGAAAACCTGTTTAAAATCAGGTATGCCAGTCCAGAAAAAGGTAAGGTGGCAACCTTATGATTGGTAGTTTTAATTGTTGATGAGAATCCAAATTGTATACACTTAAAGTGATCTCTGAAGATTTCAGTTTACTTTGTCTTTTGTTTACTGTGTAAGGATATCTCATCTTTCTTCTTCAGTCAGAGTTAGGCTGCTACAGTACAACATTCACTAACTTTTAAAGGCTGACTTTTTTTATTTCCAGGTGGTACCTTTTATTTACAAGGTTGGCAGTGCTATTGGAGAGTTCGAAAGCAGATAGGCCAAGCCACAGCTTTAAACTGTACTGTTCAAAGTGAGGTTGCTTCCCAGCTTCTTCAGGTTTTCACAACTAGCTAGAGATTTTCAAAGCTACACTTTTGACTAAACTATTATTAAAAGGAAAATATGATTAATATTCCTGTCTGCTACTCCTTCATTTCTGTGTTGTTGGATGTAACATTGAATGTGACATGGTTACCTGATCTTACTCAGCTTTGTCCTTTGGTTAAGATATTAGTTGATGCTGGTTTTTGAAGGAAATAGCAGGCAGGCTAATGTATTTTTGGCCCAAGTCCAGACCACAGCCAAGTCTGCAGTATGCTTTGCCATTTGGTTTGTGTCTCTGTCTGATGCACATTTCTTGGGACACCTCCACAAGTTAAGCAGATCTACTGTCTTCAGCAGTTTTGGTCGCCTTCATTCTGTGTGGAAACAATACAATCCTAGCACAGTGCAATATCAGAACAAGGGTAATTCCAAGGCTTGACTTTGAAATTACCTGGGTATTGGGAGGAGAGGAGGGTGGAATGTTTTTATTTTATGGGTGAATGGAGAGGAATATAAAGTGATTTAATTCTGTTCTCAGTATTAAGGACTTTGTCTTTTACCTTTGTATCCTTAAGTTCAAGATAATGGGTAGAATGGACAAGCTTGGACAATTGTTTCAAGCTCAATAGGTATTGAAACCTGCTCATCCAAGATCAGTTGGTCTGCAGTAAAATGTCTTTTGGCATATTCATGGTTTTATTAGGTTTTGCTTCTTTTATACTGCAACTTGGAAAATGTGTTTTTGCATAAATCTTTGGTGCAATACACATGATAAGTAGTGACTTTCTTTCAGGTTGTCATAGCAGTTTTGGTGTTCAGCTAGTATCAGTGCGGGGAAAATAGAAAAAAAATAGTTTTCTAAAAAGTATTTCGCTCAGAATGGCAGTTGCCATTGCACCTTGGATATTGCTTCACCACTAACAAGATGCTGGACCAGTATTTTTGTAACTATATGCTGCCTTTGGTAGGATGTTATGAATTGTTGTCTTGACAGTTTAGATGTCATACAAAGGTCATTACATTTCAGTTTTTGTTAGGACCAATATTCCATTTCTGTTTCTGCCACTTACATTGCACAACATTGTACTAGATACTATGATGCAATTCTGAAACTAGCCTTCCCTGAAAATTGTAGCTGTAATTCAGAATTTAAATGCTTTGATTCAATCTGATACACTGTATTTTGTTCAGTATTTGCTGATATCTATGGCTTAGCAAAGCCTGTGGTCACCACAGGACAGAATGTGTGGGTTTTCTTGAATAAAGTGTAGTTCTACCATGTCTTCCCTAGTGAGTGCATTATACAAACAAAACCTCTGCCTGCTACCAACTGCTGTGTCTTTTGGGGTCTGAGGGAGAGGAGTAACTGTCTAGGTGTGCAGGTAAAGATTAAGGGGGAAATAGCTGTCCAAAAAAAAAAAAAAAAAAGAGGGATTCTAGTGTATCAAGCACATGGTCAAATTCTTACTCTTCATCTGTTAGTGTTACTTTGAAAAATATGTTGCACACAATAAAAATAGTGAGTAATCTGATTTTGTAATTTGCATTTTTCCTGTATGCATATAATGGTTTCTCAGAAGCACTAACCTAAAACTTAAGCTTTTGAAAACTGAGGTGGAAACAAAAAAATTGGCACTGATGAGCCCTTATTACCATCTGTCATGAAAACAGACCTTTCAAAGCATTTTAAAGTTAACTTTCTTCGTAGTGTTTGGTTAAGAGGCTGTTCACACTAATCCCAGGCTAAATGCCAAATCTTGCTTCTGTTTAGCTAGCTATCTGAAGTATTCCTGTAAGAAAGACATCACTTGGATTTCTCGGACTGCTCTCCAAAAACAAAACAGGGGGAAAAAAAACCTTTTGAATTTTACATGAACCTACCTACTGATGAGTCGTTTCCCTAACAACCTATAACTACTTTGGCTCTATAGTGCACGATGATGTCTGTATAGCCCTGTTGATAAAGTCAAATATGCAAAATTGAGCAACAACCTCCACTCTGAAAAAATGCTTGTAAAGTGCATAAACACAACCTTTACTTAGGTGCTGTCATGAGTAAACGAGAGCTGAGAGCCTTATGGCTGTGGAGGTAAGACGGTTTGGGATCTTGGCTGAAATAAGTTCTGTTTTAGCATCTTGGCTAGAACTCTTCCTTCCTTCAGAAATTGTTAAAAGGTGGTACGTACAGAAAATCTATGCAACCCAACTGTAGCTGCATTCTTGAGGCTAATTTGTCTTTAGAGAGGAGTGATCATCATGGAGTCATGAAACTTGCAAGTTTCAAAGGTACACTGGAAGGTTTAGGTTACACAAACTGTTCTTCTCTAGTTTACATACTTAGAAACAGTATTTGTTATCTGCTGCTGCCACTCCATCACCCTTATTTTATAGAAAGGCAAGTGAAATAATTACGAAACTTAATTTGAAGTGTTCCAGTCTGACACACCACAGATTCTCCCAAAATCCACTGCTCTTTCTGGTTTTTATGGACTGAAAATCAGTCCTTGATACTTCTTGTACTCTGCGCCAAAGAGGAGTGTTTAGACAAAACATTGCTCTACCAAATATATCTGATGAAGCATCCTTTTTCTCTAGATTTTTCACTGATCCTTCTTGAAGTCAGATATGATCACACAATTGTCACATAACTACCATCTATATTTAATAGCTTCTAACATGCTTCCTTCTTCGAGTGCATTGCTTGCTGTACAAAGTACAGCATGTAAATTGGTGACTCACAGTTAGAAGAGCTTCCTTAGCACTTCTCAGTTTCTACATCTATTTCCTAACGAATGCCACAAGTTTGGAAACCATGTGGGGGATTTTTCAATTAACATAAATAAATCTCAATCCATACTTAAGAAAAAAAAGCCACAAATGGTCCTGGATTCTTTTGGGGTTTGTGTCTCCATAGGTTCACTGGTGAATTCAGTGTATTTCAAAACTGAGTGAATGACTGCCATCGAGTTAGTGTACATGACCTAAACTTGAGCTTTAACAAATGAAATCTATGATAATTATTTAGTGAAAAACACGCTGGAATTTTGCCAGATGCCAAAGCTCCTATCCTATGGTACCAAACAGAAACTAGAACACCTAGCTTTTTTCTTGTTTTTTCTTTTTTTTTTGGTAGCCTTTTACTGAATATGGAGTGCTCTAGTACTTATACTCCTGGATTATCAGTAACAGGCTTTGAAATATGCTTGAATAAGCCACTTTGTGTAGCAGCATATGTTGGGTGGTGTATGGTACTCATGTACTTCTAACAAAATATGATTTTTGCCTTGTACGCTGTCTTTAGTCGTTAACAGTTATCTTTATTTTCAGTGTACATAGGCATCAAACTTCCCTTACAAATTAAATAATATCTTTTTTTTTTTTTTTTTTTTTCACTGGTGGCAGCATGAACTGGACCTGGCAGTTCACAAAAGCGATCAAGATGGTCATCAGTGTTTGCATTGCCCAGAAAACGTTGCACAGTCAGTTGGAAACCGAAATGCATTTGACCTCTGCTTTTGTCTGTCATGCTAGGAAGCCTTAACAGCTGGAGCTGGTGCCATTGTTCATCATGAAAGATTCAGCTAGATTGGATGAGAAAGCAAGGAGGTGTCCTGTCTGAAGTGGAAAATAAAAGCTGGACAACTGAACACTAGTCATCTTGTCTTGGAGGCAAGGGTTGCTATCCTGAAGAACAAGAAGTTTAGGAATTGTTTCAGTGAGTGTTCAAAAAAGACTATCTGCAGTTAATACTGTAATTACTATGGATTTTTAATTTCACAGTTAGGCAAGGGCTTCATTTTCCCTAGGAACAGGTGAAAACATATGAATTACGAACTGTTGTAATGTGTTAAACTGGCACTGAAGAACAGATGTAAATGGCTGCTTGCCTTGCTGTCCGTACAGTGCTGAGGCCAACCCGAGCGAAGTCTGGGTTGGAGTCACTGTTGTCCATTAACTTGCTCCTCTTGTGGGAAAACCACTCAACACTGAGGCGGTAAGGAAAGGCTTTATGGATCCAGCATGGAAGGACTGGACAAAGCCACAGAGAGCAATATGTGTTGTATTCAAGACACTCACCTGAAACGTATTATGTCTAGACTTCGGGACCTTTGTCCACATAATATTTTTGTGTATAGGACTATTTTATTATATAAAGTTGATCGAGCACAGAAGAGGCTTTTGAACCTGAATCTTCCGTCTTCCACGTGATGCCTTCTGTTGCCTGTACTCTGAACTCCT